ATTATGAATAATACCAGTTCTATATTTTTATTCAAAAAATAGGGTTACAATAGAAATAAATTGTCAATCCTTAAAGAAAAATAAGTTTGATTACATTATGTGACATGTCAGATATTTAAAACAAAATCTTGTAATGTATAAAATATAATTACAAAGATATTATTTTATAATAAATACAGCATAGCCATAATAACTCTTAACTATTTAACATTTTGATATTTATGCTAATTTTATATTCTAATTAATTTTTTAAAATATCTTTTTATGTATGAAAAATAATATTCGTAATATTTTTTTATTTTAAAGACAATCATTTGGATAACGTGATAACACCACCACCACCACCACCAACAATAATAATAATAATTATAATAATAATAATCGTAATAATAATTTATATCAACAAGAATCAAAATGAGAATAATTTAAAACCACACATAAAAATTTTTAAAAACTTTTTTTAAATTTTACAATTTATTCTAGTTTTTTCAATTTCTTTTAATTTTTTTTAATTTTTTTCAATTTTTCCAGTTTCTTCCAGTTCCTTCCAGTTTCTTCCAGTTTCTTCCAGTTCCTTCCAGTTCCTTCCAGTTTCTTCCAGTTTCTTCCAGTTCTTCTAATTCCTTCCAGTTTCTTCCAGTTTCTTCCAGTTTCCAGTTCTTTTTTTCCAGTTCTAAAGAACAGGCCCTGAGTGGTACAACTGAAATATGTTCTAAAGTGTTTTACATAAACATAAATCACAGTTTATGCCAAATCAATTTACAAAGCATTTTATTACTTCTAAAAGGTCATACTCCCTCCGTCCCAATTTAAGTCGTCCGTTTTGATTTTTGGGCATATTTAAGAAAAATAAAAAATAGAGTTGATTTTTCAAAGTTCACATTATTTTTTAAGAGGGGTAATGATGAATGATAAGATAAGGTGAAAAAGAATGACTTATTTTAAGGGTAGTTTAGATATTTTATTTTTAATAGTTTACGAAAACAACTAACAGACAATTTATTTTGGGACGGAGAAAAAAGGCAAATATGCAATTTAAAATGGGACGGAGGGAGTAATACATTGAGTACCCAAATTTTACCATTCCTACAAAAATATACAATTCATTAATCTGTTTGCATAAATAACTTGGACCGAGGGCCGAGCTAATATATCCAGTCCGAGTCTGGTTTGGACCTAACAATCTGGTTTGGTCAGCTTCTTGTTCTGGACCTGAACTTAAACAGCCCTATGTACAACCATGCATGCCCCACCTTGTGCAGTGGGGCCTCCAGTTTTTCAAGCATCTTGAAGCGTTCATGCCTAGCATGGCCTTGGTAAAGGTTTTTCAAGCGCTGCATCATGGGGCGCACTTCCATGTCCTTGTGGAGCCTTTGGAGCTCCTGGATCATGCTGCCTAGGATGATATAGTGCACAATGTTCAGCCAGAGGAGCATACCGATGGGCAGTAATGATAGGTGTGATCTAGAGTAGTTGCGGGTTGTGATGGGCAGTGACGGTTTGTGGTGGATGGCACTATGGCAGACAGTGAGTGCATTATAGGTAAAATTATGAATTAGGATTTGTAACTTGAAGGGGCATTTAGGTACATTTTGTTCATAATTAATTAATTAATTACTTCCCCTATCCCTCAAAGATCTCCGCTCTTCGAAAAACGTCCAAAACTCCATTTTAAAAATTATTTTATTTACAAATTAGTATAGAAATAAAATTACAAATTATATATTTCAAAACTATAACAAAAGTTCAATAAAAAAATTTTGACAAAAATATACTATATTATCAATTAGTCAATAAAAACACACAAATAAAAAAAGTTATTGATAGATGAAAATAGTACCAAAGAAAATCTTTTAGGTATAGAGAGAGGAATAATTTGGGAATAAACCACATGATTCTATTTAGGTAAAATGACTATTTTATGTATAGAGAGAGGAACAATTTGGGAATAAACCACATGATTCTATTTAGGTAAAATGACTATTTTTGCCTTTACTCGAGTATTTTCTCCTAAAATAATCTTGATGACCACTCAAAATCAATGTTTAAAATAATAAAATAATCTTGATGACACCAAGGTTTGTTCATACAAACTTGATCAAAGTCTCATTCACCAAGAATGTAGCATTTTTTATGTAGAGACATTGTTGTACATACCTGAATTTCTTGAAACCTTAAACTGCAACCGTTAGGAGACTGAAAAAAAAAAACAGAAACATTAAGCAATACACCAAAGTACATTAACTAATAAGGTGCAATTCTTTTTAAACACGTCGCTTTCCCAGACTTCATCTCCATGCTCCACATTACATTTTCCATATTAAAGAGCTAAAAGGAAAAGAGTTATCTCATTACATATGAAATTCCGCTAAGATAGTATAGCACTGATAAGTCGTATCTAGAATTGTATCAATATAAACTAAATAATGGAAGCTCATTGAACAAGGATGGAAACCATTAGGTGAAGAATTACCAAAATAATCAAATGGCTTTTTCCTCAAGGCCCTCAAATGCCATGTTTTCTTATCTTTTGAAGGTTGAAATAAAGAGGCTTCGAATTCTGTCGACCGCTCAACAACATCAAAATGAGCTGTCATAAATGTAAGGAAGTATACTCTACCACGCGGTTTATAAAAATGTAAGCCCTTATTCTGCACAATCTCTGAAACCTCAAAGTTTTTCCCATCTATAAGCACAAAAAAATGAAAATTTTAATGACATCGTGAATGATAACTAAATAGGATAATTTTCATAAAATCCTTAGAGCTTCTGCTAAAGGTTGTTTAACAACCTAAATTATTAATCGAGTAAAATTCCATAAAAGATCCACAGTTATAGTTTGCTTTACATACTTAGTCCCTACATATCAAATATCAATAATTTAGTCTCCAATTATTATATTGTTTTCCATGAATGGTCGTTTGTTAACATTTCTGTTAAAAACATGGATAAAATTGTAAATTCATGCTCCTCTCTCTCTTCAAATAAGTTTCCTCTCTTCTCTCGCACTCATTTCCCAAACCCGTCACTGAGTTTGAAGCTTTGAACCCAAAATCGAAATCATCCCTCCTATCTCAATTGTTCGTCTTCCTGGTGGAATCCAAAATCGAAACCAGTAACTCTCATGGATGAGTTTTAAGGTTTGTTTTTTTTTGCAATTTCTTAAGACTAACCCATAAAATTCATCCATGAAGGTTATTGGTCTCGATTTTGGGTTCCACCAGGAAAATGAACATTTGATAGAGAAGTGATCGTTTTAGTTTTGGATTTAGAGCTTCAAACTCAACAACGGGTTTGGGAATGAGTATGAGAGGAGTGATGAAGCTTAATTGAAAAAAGAGAAAAGAGTGTGAATATACAAATTTATCCATATTCTTAACGGAAATGTTAAATTGTTAACAAAGGACTATTTATGGAAATCTATACTCCCTCCGTCCTATTGTCTTTGTCCACTTATCTTTTGACACACCATCCAATGCACTTCTTTAATCCATTTTATCTTGTAATTTTTATATTAAAAAATTATAGAAATTATATATTAATAATCTATATGTTAAGACGAATCAAACAAGATCACACATGACTATTTTTAGGCTTACACATTGAGAGAATTTGATTAGTCAAAGTGCTTAGATGAACAGTTCCAAAAGTCAAATGTGGACAAAGACAGTGGGACGGAGGTAGTATAATAATTGGGGACTAATTTATTGGCATTTGATATGTAGGAACTAAATATGTAAAACGACGTATAACTTGGAACCACGGAATTTATACTAAAAAATACTCCGTAATACTCTTGACTAGAAATTGAAGGGAAAAAATACAACCTTGTTTTCCTTGTTGAAAAACTCAATGGCTACTCTGGCACCATCAGTAGCTTCTCTGAGATACATACCTGCCCATGGTTCGTCCATCTCATAATACAACAAAGAATGGCCCATCTAATGAAGAGAAGAAAAAAATCAAACAGTTGCTTAAAATAACAGTGATAAAGAAAGCAATTCAGGTATGAATTTGGGTCACCTTCAACTCTAAAGGTCTTTCAGAACGGGGATCCTCCCCTGGATTGAAAGAGCTTTTGGGTATATCGAAATAGTAATCATCTATTCTGGAAAACGCATCGAAACAGAGCCAATTCAGATTCCTCCACCTGGAGAAATTCTTGGTCTCCCAAACATCATCGTCCACCATGAAAATCTGTGTGAAGTCTTCACCTTCGAGGCCCCTTGCCTCGCCATCATCGCCTTCTTCGTTCGCCTCATCCACGTCCATGTTCCCCTCATCTTCAACGCTGATATTTGTCTCCTCATTCATGGCAAACAAGGCGCAGCGCGCAACACCATCATTGACTGCAGCCTTCCTCGCACGAGACGGAAGAAGAATCCACATCCATTGCTTGCCTGCAAAACCTAGTTCTGAATTCGGGGATTTCATTGTACCTCTGGCTCCTTTTAAATACTCCGCCTTCACAAATAAACTTAAACTTGGTTGATGGGTTAACTATATTCATCACCATTTGATAAAATAATATAGTCATGTCACATCTAGTTTTGTAGATCTTTTGATATAATTTTTTAATATGTACTCCATTTTACACTAGGTAGTAATTTTTATTTTTAAATTTTACACTATTTTTCATATATATTGATTTAAAAATGATTTCAGTCAAACATCGTAAACACGCAACGAAAAGTTTATTTATGGACGGAGAAAGTAAAATTTAATTTAAATTTGTACATTCTTTTTGTTTTACTTGTAGTTTAGTTGTTTTTAATTTGTAATTAACCAAAATTTAATATACTCCTACATTCTTTTAAACTCTTCCATTTTGACTTTGGACAAAAATAAAAAATGTAATTTTGTTTGACTTTCCAATTTTACCCATAAGGTGATAGGTAAAAGTAAGATGTGATAGCTTGGTCATTAGTGGAAAAGGTATGATGTGATAGATAGAGTATGAAAAAGTAAGGGTAAAAGTAATTTTTTAATAGAAAGTGCCAATGTTTTAGGTAATTCGAAAAAACGAAAAAAGAAGAATTTTATGGATCGAAGAGAGTATTTATTACTCAACCAATCAAAATAATTTACATTAGTTTTAAAATTCATCATTTTCTAGTCACCCCTCTTTCAAATGTCATAACACACATTTTTTTATTTAGGCTCTCCCGCGTATAAGGCAACTAGCAGAATGTACAAAAGATAAGGTACTCAAGACATTCGAGGAATGTACAAAAGATAAAGCAGCAATAGCAGAATGCAATGGTAAAGCATTGAATGCACTGTTTGGGACAGTAAACAACTCTCAGTATAGACTAACAGTCAACTACATTGTGGCAACAAAAAAAAGCATGGAAGATTCTCAAGACAACACATGAGGGTGATGAAAGGGTTATGACAGCCAAGTATCAAAAATCAAAGTTTCTCAAGTTAAAACCCAAGTGTTGGAAACACTTATATAATACGGAGTATATTTTAGCTAGAAACCAAGTATAAAAATTTGAAAATCACGCCATTAAGGTAAAAATCATCACTAGCCATGTTTATGCCTTTTCACATGGTTTTTGCAAAAAAACTAAAACTGAAAGGTGGGTTTTAACATATTTTTGTTGGAGAACAATTTGAATATCCCTAGAAATAAAAAAAAAATCATAAAATCTTAAAAACCACTTGCTTGATTCGAATGCCAAAAATCAACGGTGATAACCGGCACCGAATGTCGATAACCAACGCCGAAAAACGAAGGTAATGATTTATGAAAACTAATCATTTGGAAAACCTTTAAATGTGTCCAGAAGCAAAAACCAAAGATAAAAACTCAAAAATAATCTCGCTAAAATCAATACCAATAACCAACACCGTAAATCTAACGTTGATAACCGATGGTTATAGTTTTGGTTGGATAAGAACCATGGGTTTTGGAAGCTTAAAAACCATTTACAAAAACACTACTTTGATGCATGAAAAATTATTTTGTTTTGAGCCAAGACTTAGAGAAATTAAATAAGCATGTTACAACAAAAAACTTAAGTTTTTAGACAATGTCTTCAAGGTGTCAATGTCGTTATTTTAGCAACATCAATATCTTTCTTGTGCTTTTTGTTTCCCCAAAGAAAGTTTTCTATGCTTTTGAATCTTTTCATTTTATTCCATACTCCCGATAGTTTATCAATATCAAAACTAAAAACAATTCAAGCTTGAAATGTTCTTTAGGTAGTCGGACAAAGAAATCATTTAAATAGTAATAAAAATTGAAGTTGCGAATGATGCAACTTCCTATATCTCAATTAGCAACTTCCACATCAAGCTAATAAAACGAAAAAATCTCAACCAAGATTCTACTCCCTTTGTTCTATAAAATTATTCCCTTTCATTTTTTCCCAATTTCCTAAAACACTCCCATTTTCTATTGAAAAAACCACTTTTATCCTACTTTTTCATACTCTACTTATCACAGCATACTTTTTTTTACTAATAACCAAACTATCACATCTTACTTTTACCGTCACATTAATGACAAAATTGGAAAATCGACTAAAATTACACTTTTCTTATTTTGACCCAATGTCAAAATGGGAAGGGTTTAAAAGAACAGATGAGTATTAAACAAATACTTGAAATGCAGGACTCCGCACAAAAGATGCTTCATAAGTTGATGAAGCATGCAATAGAGGTTAGGTTTCTAGTAGACATGAATAACAAGAAAGTCAACAACTTCTCAATCCAAAACCAACCCATTACCGCGTTCATGAGTTTTCCATAAGATATGTTCAATGCACAAACACAATCATAAAAGATGATATTAAGAGATGACGGATTAAGGCGAAGAGTGGGGAATTAGGGAAACAAAAGTGATTTCATATCGACAACAAAACTTAAAACCACATTCATCCACCTGAATGATGAAAGTTAACAACGTTACAACAAAAAAAGTTCTCATATGAACACAATTTAACACAAGAAATTCGTGTTCCTTTCACACACATCATCCACCAACGTTGTAGCAAGCCCTAGATTGCTTTGAATTCAGAATCCTTACAACTCACGATACCAAGCACAGAGTGCAGATATGAGGTTGAAACAAAAGAACAAGAATAGCACAAAGTGCATTCCCATCACTTTCATGAGTTCACCTCCATGTCACCCCTCCAATACCATATGGTATCAGATATTAGTACACAAATTCTATCATTAGATTTATCTTGCAGAAAACAGTCAGAAAATTATTTTCATGTATTAAGATGCAATGCAAAATTATTTTAATGTACTCTTATATGCATTACTAACGCTTTTGTTTTGACCAATAATTCGCAATGTATATACTAGTACTAGTATACAACAATATAACCAAGTAATCCCTCTATCCCAAAGTATTTGTCTATTTTGATTTTTTTTGTCTGATTGGATAAACTTTAATTACCAATTATATTACATTTGTAATCCATATTAATACCGTAAAATAAATTTGAGTAAATTCCAAAAATAGTTCGTAATTACAAGTGTTTCTCATTTTAAGTCTCCAATTCTAAGATATTAGATAAATAGTCTTCAATTTTTTGAAAACTATTCCATAATTGATTCTTCAATCTTCATAGACTACATGTGGAAAAATATTTTGTCATATTAGGCATAAAAGACTATTTATGGAATAGTTTTCAAAACTTAAGAGTCATTTATGTAATATCTAAAAATTAGAAACTAAATATAAAAAATCACATATAATTAGGAACCATTTATTAAACATACTCAATAACTCTCTAATTGGGTTTTGCAAGATAAGTCTAATGAGATAATTTTGTACGAAATTACCTCAAAAAACATATGGTTTTTCCCTCAAGGCCCTCAAATACCAAATTTTCATGTCTGGATTAGGCCGGAATAAAGAGGCTTGAAATTCTCTCTCAACCCCAGAATCATTCTCGATTGCCACAATTGTTAAAAAGTATACAAAACCGGAAGGCGCAAAACATCGAGAGCCAATTCTTACCCTAGAGAGCGATTTATACTCCAATGTCTTTCCATTCTATAAGAAGAAAACGATGTTATAATTAATGACATAAAGAATGATAACAAAAACCATCAATGCTACTTGCACACCAACATGGCCGCACTGACATACATTTTGTGCCAGTGTAAAACGTGGTGTACACATAGCACGCTTGAACAAAAATGTATGCTCCATAAAAAAGATTAACCTTGTTTTCTCTATTGAAAAACTCAATGGCTAATCTGGCACCATGAATAGCTGCTTTGCCACAAGGAAAATTCTTCATATAGTCACACAACGTATGACCCATCTAAAGAAAAGAAAGTAATCAAACAATAACATACACTAACAGTGATTAGGCAAGCAAAATATATAGCACTAATTGCAATCGTGGCATGAATTTAAGTCACCTACCTTCAACTCGTAGGTTATTTCGGAACGGGGATCCTCTCCAGGCTTGAAATACTCTTTAGGTAGTCGCTCAAAGTAATCATCCATTTTTTCATGATAAAAACAGGCCCAATTCGGTTTCCTCCACTTGGAGAAGGATTTACTCTCCCAAACATCATCCGCAACCTGAAAAATTCTTATGGACTCTTCATCGTCCTCGTCTTCGTCCTCGTCCATGTATTCCTCCTCTTCTTCCAAGTTCATGACTCCTTTGTCCTCAACCAAAAGGCTGCAAGCAACGCCGTCATTGAGCCGCCGCTTCATCGTACCAGAAGGGGAAGATGACGATCCGACGCTGGGGGGCACCATCATTTATCTCCGTTGAAACCCTAGATCTGATTCTGGGGATCTACCATTCCACCGCCAACTATTGTGCCATTTGTGCGCGTGTTAACGAAAAATTGTGTTTGGTTACTAAACAAACTAATTTAACACGTGCATCTGATTTCATACCACGTGCATCTGGTTACTATCATATATTTTTATTTTTAATGTATGATCATTGGTCACTATTTATTAGTCATTATTCAAGTAAATGTCTCCCATCACAGGATATTATTTCTCTCGTTGGACATTATTAAGTCTTATTTATAAAATAAAAAGGTTTAAGTCATACATTGAAAAATGACTTCTGTTTTAGTCCTATTTAATGCAAATATTTTTATAAAATTAAAAAATGTTTCATATAATTGCAATTGGTTCTAATAAGACTCTGCCACACATAATTTTTCCCATGTAATTATTGTATTTGGCAAAAATTATACTCCCACCGTTTCTTAGTATCATTCATCTTTTATTTTTTCGCTTTTATGCCTATTTTTTTCTTACTTTATCTATCACATCATACTTTTCACAAAAAAATTATGCATCACATCAAGGGCAAAATTTGAAAGTAAACTCCAAATAATTCTTCTTAATTTTTGTCCAAAGTCAAAATAGAAATTGTTTATTGAAATAGAACGAGTATTAATCGAATTGTACAAAAGTTAGAAATTCAAAAAAACTTCATTATACACGTCATTTGAAATGTGATTCAAAGAATTATTTTATTATCATAACTCATGATCTCCAATTCTTATTAATTTGTTACATGCGAGACAACCTCTTAAATTTAACCATAACTAAATATTGAGATTTTAATAGTAACCTGACATTTTAATAATAACTAAATACCCATTCGCTTCAAAATATAAAGAATAAATACTTTATAACAAAAGTATACACAATTTTTTTAAATTATCACTACTATACGTAGTAAATAAATGTATAAATCGAGACAATATAATCAAAAACCAATTGAAAAAAATCAAGGGAAAGGTGGGGTAGGAGAAAACTCTGAAAAGAAAAGGACATGTAAATTTGGTTTGTGTTCTGTTCGTTTGATTTGATCTGATTTTTTAAAGATCTAATCTAATGTGATCTAAACTGATTGAAATTATTATTTACAGAGTAATATTTAATTATGTACTCCGTATTATTATGTTAAATTAATCTTATCATTTTTCTTCATCAATGTTTTCCCTAATTATATAGTTCATAATTAGGTCGTGCAACGCATGGGTACGAGTCAAGTGTACCTCACAAAAAAAATTTGAATATTTTTCAAATGAGTTTTTTAAGCATTTGATAATGGGTTCAAAACCATGTGTATTCTTAAAGAAACAAAAACAAAAACGAATTTTCCTTGTAAGTATGTTCCAAATGATCAACGAATCAAAAATTTTAAAGAGAAAAGATAGCATCCATTGATTGAATAGTAGTTAAAAAAAATTAAACCACACTAAACGTCTCTTGAATGATATTACACTGGTTAATATCTCCTCTATATTTATTAGAGAGGACTGAGCATCCTTCCATTAAATGCCATTGTTTCTTAATATCTCTTCGATCTCCCCTTCCATAGGGTGGAACATGATATAGGCACACGAACCAAACCTTGATCCATCGACACACTCTCTCAAAATAGATTCTCCATTTCAACGGTTTCAACCTCGCCTGCTAAAATTATATCCAAAATTCATGAACAATAAATAATTAAAAACTACGGAGTATATTCTAAGATGCCACTCATATTTAGAAAAATAAAAACTTTGACTTCACATAAATACGTTTTAATACATAGTTCTCATTTACTCCCTCCGTCTCACTCTCTTTGTCCACTTACTTTTTGACACACTATCCAATGTACTTCTTTAATCAATTTTATCTTGTAATTTGTATATTAAAAAATTATAGAAATTATATATTAATAATCTATATGTTAAGACAAATCAAACAAGATCACACATGACTATATTTAGGCTTACACATTGATAAAATTTGATGAGTCAAAGTTCTTAGATGAACAGTTCCAAAAGTCAAAACTAAACGAATATAGCGGGACAGGGATAGTAGTAAGCAATTAAAATTTCTCACTATATTTGATGTAGCAAATACAAAACAGAAAATAACATCCACACATCTATTCTAACATGACTAAAATTTTGTTCAGCTTAATGATCTTGTGTTTTTATATACTACGTAGTTCATCAATTACTAAACGTTTCATAAGATCATCCTCAGTACTCATGTCCACGGAAGCCTCTTAATAGATGTAGTGAAAATGATAAAGGATGTACTGAGTAAGGGATCATCAAGCATCGGAAGATAGTTCATCAATTACAAAAACAATAAGGGGTGTATTTAGTAAAACATTGTTTTAATTAATTGAAAAATTAAAGAATATCTCTTACACTATGTTTGCTTCAAGTAATTTGAAAGGAAAAAGAAAGAAAATAAGAGGAAAAACTATTTTTCATGTTTGTTTTGAGAGAAAAGAAAAAAGAAAGAAAAATATACCAAAAGGAGAGGTGCCACCATGGTAGGGGTGAGAACTGAGAAGAAATTAACCATCAAAAGGGAGCAGATTAGAAGGGTAGATCAGCTGTCCTAATTAAGGGTAGTTATATAAGTTAACATAGGCAGAGTTTGTACTGCTAATATCCAAGAACTAAATCGTTATCATTGTTTACAACGTGTAAATCCAAAAAAAAACCACTGTATCTAATCAAAAACAAAACATTACTATTTCCAAAGCCTTATAGTGTGAGTCTAATGCATCAGTAAACAAACAAAAAAGATAACGAAAAGCTACGTACGTAGCATAATAATGTTTTAAGATAAGTACAAGGGTAATCTACGCATATAGGACTTGAAAATGTTACTTTTTCTAATTTGGACAAGTCCTATCTACTACTTCGTATAACATTTGGCAATAGAAAGTTCTAAAATGCCCTGACTTTGAGTAAAATAAGACATTTTTAAAAATGATTAGAATAGTCATTGAAATAATCAATCATTATTCAATACTTGTCACTAATGATCACATTTGTAGAGGCATATAGCTAATGACCACATTTGTAGAATTATTCGTATAATCATTCATTATTCAAAACTTGTTTCTAATGAGGACATATATAGCACATCATTTGGAATTATGTGTCATAAAAGAGAATAAAAATACTTAGACCAGTCAAGGCTGTGAGGTGACTACCATTGGGAATCCGGAGGGACCACATCTAACATCCTTAAATCTGTGTTTTTATAGCTCCAAAAAACAATAAAGGTTGACATTTATTGAAAGCATTGTGTGAATAGGACACTTGAAGTTGCCTATGAATGCTTGAGCATATCCCTTGGAAATTCTATTTACGAAATTCTCATGGCCCAAAACTCTGCACAAAAACAATCAGCTCATCATACCAAGCACAAAGTGCAGATATGAGGTTGAGACGAAAGACAAAAAATACAGTGTTATTTTAAACCCACTACATAGTGGATATATATATATATATATATATATATATATATATATATATATATATATATATATATATATATATATATATATATATATAGATTGACTACAGTGAGATGACACCTTACGGTGAGATGACATTCTTCGGTCAGATGACACAAAGCTCACCACTGGTCAATGCAAAGCTCACCAAAGACAACTACAAAGCTCACCAAAGTGTAAGGCAAAGCTTACCATATTTTTTCAGCACTTTGAATTTTTTTCCAAAAAAAAATTAAAGGAAAGGGTGCTGACTGGACTTTGACTGTTGACTGCCAGCATTGACCGCCGCCTGCCACCAACCGCCGGTCGCCGCCGCTGCCGCCGGTCGCCAGAATCCGATCGCCGTCGCCGGAATCCGGCCGCCGCCGGCAGTGGCGGCGGAGGTCGGCTGCCGGAGTCCAGCGACGCGGCAGCGGAGGTCGCCGGCGGCAGGCGGTGGCTGCCGGAGTCCGGCGACGGCGGCAGCAGAGGTCGCCAGCAGTTGTCGCCGGCGGCGGCGGTGGTCGTCGGAGGTCGCCGGCGGTGGTCGCCGGCGGCCGGCGGCAGGGGGTCGCCGGTGATGGTCAATGGTCAAAGTCCAGTCAGCATCACTTCCTTTGATTTTTTTTCAAAAAAAATTCAAAGTGTTGAAAAAATATGGTGAGCTTTGCCTTATAATATGGTGAGCTTTGTAATTAATTTTGGTGAGCTTTGTAGTGGACATTGGTGAGCTTTGCGTCATCTGACCGTAGCATGTCATCTCACCGTAAGGTGTCATCTGACTGAAGTCAATCTCATATATATATATATATATATATATATATATATATATATATATATATATATATATATATATATATATATATATATATATATATATATATCTGTGTGTGTGTAATTTTGATATTGATATTATTTTTAATTACTATTTATCTATTCTACTTATTTCTACATACACATCAATTTTACCTTAGTATAAAGTAAGGGTATATTTGGAAAATGATATTAAAATTCCATATATATTAAGGTGTACCATTTTTCGTCTTTGGAAAATTTTATGTGACGGAGGAAGTAAAATATTTTGCTTAATCTTGAAATGGGTGTTGCCCTATAATGGCTAAATCCACATCATTTGTTACAAATATACTCCGTAGTTTAAAAATTGATTTATTTAATTCTTATAAATGAATGTATTTAGTCAAACGTGAGATCGATTTAGCAAATTATAAATATAATTTTAAATTTTTATTTTTATATTTATATGTAAATTTAATTAAAATAGGGAGTATAATTTAAGTCAAATTATTCAAATGTTGTAGTCCCCAATAGAAAATTTAATTCAAGACAAGAAATACGTTAAGAGAAGCCGAGAAGGGGTCGCCCTGTGGGTGCATTGAATTGAATTGAAAAGAGAGGACTACGTAGGGGTCCTACTTAGGGGTTGACCACTTCCCCGATTGATGCTCGAAGGTTAAATGGTTGCAAATTGTAGTACCCCAAAAAATTGCAATTTCTTCGTCCCAAATTGTTTTTTCATTCCAAATTGTTTGCAATATTTTGAACAATATGTAAAATATTATCCATTCAAGAATTATATTATTTACAAATTGGTATAGAAATAAAAAAACTAAAAAGTTACACCGTTCAAAAATATATTAAAAATTTTACAAAATAAGATAGATGCGACAAGAATGTTTTATTTTATTAAATGATCAATCAAATTGAGTAAATAAACCAAAGTTATCGAGAGACTGAAATAGTAATTGTGACATTTCCTCTACTACGTATGTATTACTCCTTCGTAAGGCCATTGGCATCAGGCGGAGGAGAATTCTTCTCTCGGAGAGAGAACTGCATTAGAATGGGGAGGAGTATTCTCGAGCACAAATTCCAAGAGTAGAGAGAAGGAGAAATGTTTCGCGTAGGAGAGGATGAAATGAAAGGGATGGACCAATGTGGCCTTTTCTTTAAATTTTTTAAATAATACTCCCTCCGTCCCTAAATAGATTACAATTTTTTTTCTCTCTCCCCTCGACAACTTTTGTTTGTTTACGCGATTTCATTAAGTATTTGATAAAATAAAATATTCTTGTCACCTCTTGTTTTGTAGAACTTTTGACGTAGTTTTTTAATATGTAATTTTTATATCTTACTGATATACCAATTTGTATATAAAATGATTTCAAAAAGTAGAAAATTTCACTCTGTAACCCGCAATTTGTAATCAAATTGGGAACGGAGGGAGTATGAATATATTGTAATACAGTTTGATAATAATTGATCTTATTGAATATTGAAGGGTACATCTCTATCTATAGAGATTACATGAGAGAGTTCTAATCATAGTAGGAGAACAACTATAGTAACAATATACTCCCTCCGTCCCGGAGTATTCGTCCAGTTTTGACTTTTGGAACTATTCATCTAAGCACTATGACTCATCAAATTCTTTCAATGTGTAAGCCTAAATATAGTCATGTGTGATCTTGTTTGATTTGTCTTAACATATAGATTATAAATATATAATTTCTATAATATTTTAATATACAAATTACAAGATAAAATGGATTAAAAAAGTGTATTGGATGATGTATAAAAATAAAAGTGGAAAAATACTCTAGGACGGAGGTAGTAATAAGAAAAATAATATAATACGGAAAATTATTACATAATATTTATTTCTTATTATCTAATATTTTTAATATCCCCTACAAATGATTATCAGTAACAAAAAGCAGTTTGAAGCACATATACTAGAATAAAGCTGGCAGAAACAGTTTTGTGAGGATAACCTCTACAAGTAGAGAATCTGATCTTCGTTACATGACGAACGCGGTTGAAATTACGTTTGCTGAGTTTTTTCCTGGTGCGAGTGTTGAGGATTGGAGCGAGGGCGAGGAGTTTCTTTTTTTCTCCATGTGGGTCGTTTTATACTTCTTTATCGCTTTCCAGCTTTCAGTCTCTAGAAAAAATATTGACAAAGGCAATTTTTCTGTTCTTCCGTCACGCACATAATTTTTTTAGAAGAGAGAGGGAGAGGGAGAGAGAGAGAGATAATGCTTTTTTGGAGAGAAAGAGAGAGATAATGGACTGCTGCTGTTAGACATGCTCATCGAGATTGGTCGGTTACGCCATGCTGTAGGACGATCGACCACCGTAAACCGAGAGTGGCAATGTGCTCGGTCTTGAAGAAGAGTCTTATGTTTTAGAGAATCTTTGTTTCAATACCATGATACAATTTGATAATAATTGGTCGTATTGAAAATTGAAGAATAGATCTCTATTTATAAGGATTACATGAGAGAGTTCTAATAATAGTAGGAAAAAACTTTAGTAACAATACAATAATGAAAAAAATATAATAAGAAAAGTAATTAAATATAATATTTATTTCTTATTATATACTCCCTCCGTCCTAAAACTTTCTTCCCACTTCCTCTTTTTCTCCATCCTAAAACTACCTCCCCACTAGAACAAAGATAACAAATGACATTAATACCCTCATGTATTTACATCAATTATCTTTTAACTCTATATTTTGAATGATTGCAAAAAATCTTTTTTAAGGAGGGTAAAATTTGAAGTAAAAGCCAAAAATTAAAAATGGGGAAAAGTCAAACTGGGAAAAAAGTTTTAAGACGGAGGGAGTAATATATTGAATTATTTTCAGTAATCATTTTAATGTAAGAAAGGAGAAGAAGTAATGAAAAAGTCGAGCCTTGGAACCTCAAAATATGATGCAGATGAGACATGAGAGAAGTAAGAAGTACGTAAATTTTGTATTTTAATCCTTCCCGTACCAATGTCCTAAAAGAAAACTATTTTGTATTCCCTCTAGTCTTTTTTGAATAGTACGTAAATTTCTATTTTATAAAATAAATTTTATTTATGTGTAGAAATAAAAAATACACTTACATATTAAAAGATAACATTAGAAGCTTTACAAAACAATTGAGAATTTATATATCCGCAAAATATTTGGTTTTAGGGTGGAGATATGTATAACCTCCATACTTTTTTGACTGTATCACCTCTAATATTTCATCCACATCAGCGCCACATCAAATTCCACTAATTTCTTAGTTTTTATACTACAAGTGAAGTGACGGTGTACATATGCCATTTCACCAACTTACTAGAATATGTTTTTAAATAATTAACTTAAACTAATAATATAAATTAATTTTAAAATACACATATAATGTAAATATTATTTAAAAATAGAAACCAACATAAAATAATTAAAAATAGACACTCATTAAATCACCTCAGTGATTCACTTGCAATGTTTTTGGAAACATAAGATACACAAAAAACTTTCATGAAACCAAATGATCCACTTCAAGCATTATCCACTCTTCTTATGCCCAGGCACTACAAGCAAAAAGGAATTGAAATATGATTAATTATAATTAAGTGTGTTGCTATTTCCACTCTCATTTTTAGCTAAATCCATCCTTTTATGTTAAATGTACAACTTTGCCCTAAAAGATTGACTTGCATCTAAATTTTCTCTTCTATACTTTTAAGGCTAAAAATTGTCAATTTAACACAAAAGATTAAAAGGGGTGAATTTAGCCAAAATGAGAGCGAATATAACGAAGTCAACATCAAATAAATAAACGTGAAATACTGCAAACCAAATACCTCGTGATCACGCAAAACTTCTCGTGGTACTTGCCAAGTGTATCTACTACTTCTTCATTGAGAGGTTGCTCTTCAGTATCGAAAACTACATGAATTTCTGCACTAATGCTCTCCCACATATTTTGATACTTCCAAATTTCCTTATGGCGAGTGGGATTAGACATTACGAATGCCAAACCTGATAATATCTCACATACCGAACGAAAACGAATAGATTCTGATATCATTTGAAGCAAGATTATCGAAGCCTTCGCCTTTGCTTCATCAATAACAGCGATTCCATGTTCATCAATTTGCCATGTGGAAGCAATCACATTCACTGCAGTAATTATTGACATCCTACATAAGTGGATTTCACACATTCGGCGGGGATCACCAAATGGACTGAGAGGAAGTGCAATGTAATTTCCAGCAACATTTATAGTGGTACATGGGGATACTTCTCCAACAGGAGCATCTTCAAACACGTACCAATGTCCCTCAACTTGAAAAGCGCAAATGCGCAAGTTGTGGGAATTGATTCTGATAGTAATAACTGAACTGTTGGTTACAACCGTAACATTTTTAAAAGTAGGAATTTTGTTATCCGGAATCGGTGGTAAAACCAAAAAAGTTTTAGCCACGCCATTAGAACCCACGAATTCTCTCTGATGAATGGGAGAGTTAAATTGAACTCTGGCTTGATGGATCCAAGTGGAATAAACTGGTTTCCATTGATATGGATCATTTTCGACGATAGACAAATCAAGTAATGGGAGATCTTCCATTTTGAAAACCTTCAAAGGAAAAGAAAAGAAACAATTACAAATATAAACATAGAAATTAGATAATAATTTCTAATTTCAACCACCAAAATCGATCTTCACTCTCAAAGATTCGGCTAAAGAATGCTTACCTTTGATCTCTGATTAAAAAACAAATTTGGGTTTCTACTAAATCCATCACTTCTTGAACTGTTTGCTGGTTACCCAGCCCATTACAGTTCCAACTGGTTTTACTAATTAACACTCGTAGGGAAAAAAAAAAACCCTCAAAAGAGTCTGTCGCTGTACCAAGGCAGAGCAATGTATAAGTCAATGAAAATTGTAATCTTGCCAAAACAAATCGGTTGGAGGGTAAGAGCAGTGACCACCCAATCTGCAACAACACACAAGAAATTGGAGCAGAGCATTTTGAAAATCAGGCATAGGATTCCACGAATCAGCACAAGAATCCACGACCAAGCATTCCATCACCACAAACCTCACAATAAGCGGTGCACACAAACAGAAAATCCAACAGCAAGATGAAAAAATCAGACAAGAATACTCACAGACACGAGAGACGAATCAAATAAACCAGGCCATCATCGGAGGGAGCGGCCTTCCCCAGAGACTTTGATTCACTCAAACAATTGGCAGTGGCGGAATAGGCATCGACGGAAATGATCGGCAACTTCTTAGGGCGGAGGCGGTGGTCTGCAAAGACTCCTAGTACCACTTTTAACACGAGCCATGTTATAATCATCGGGCATAGAAAGTTTGACAAAAAAACCCTAGTTCCATTTACTTCGAAGCAGTGAAATGGGTAAACTCTGTAATAAGAAGAGCAGAGAGGAATGACTGAATTTACTCCAAATTCGCCTTCCGATTTGGAGTGACAGTGACGAACAAATTTGATTTGGGATTTGGAAGATTCTATGAGGAAGGCACAAGTGGAGAACAACTGCGGCAGTGTGGCGGGGAGGGTGACAATGTGGTGGGAGAGGGTAGTAGTGTGGCGGCAATGTGGTGGGAGAGGGTAGTAGTGTGGTGGCAATGTGGTGGCAAAGGTGGTTGCGGTAGTGTGGCAGCATAGTTGGCATTGTGGCGAAGGTGGTGGCAATGTGGCGGTTGCGATGGTAGTGTCGCAGGGAGAATGGCAGTGTGGTGGTGCTAGTAATGGCAATGTGGTTGGCAGTGTGACATCAGAGTTGGTACAGTTGGTAGTGTGGCTATATGACACCCTTGTTATTAAACAAGGGGAATATTGTCACTATATTTAAAAAAAACTTATTTATGCCCAAAAAACTTCATGCTTCAATTTTGCATTTAGCACTCATTTTACTCCTATTCATGTCCTTCTCCAAAACTGAAAATGCAAATAATTTTTACATTAACATTTGAAAACCATAAATTTACTTGAGCAAAGATAGTTACCCTACTCTGAAGTATATTTCCAAACCCATATGTGACAGCGATGTAAAAGAATCCTAAATTATACTAACACTATGTTTGGTTCAAGGAATTTGGAAGGAAAGGAAAAGAAAAGGCTTTTCCCTCACCGTCCTCACCAAAATAGAAGAAATTTTGTTTTTCTTCTTCTTAGTACATTTTGCGTTCTCATTTTCTTTTCCTCTCAAACCAAAAAAGAAAAATGTTTTCCTTTTCATTTTCTTTTCCTTTCTCTTTCAATATCCTTGAACCAAACATAGTGTAAGGCAATCTGATTCACACATTAGCATGGGGCACTTCTTTCTTACAATTGACATTTTTTATTTATACTACGAAGCAAAAATGATAACCATGATAACAAGAGGGTGCAAAATAAAAAAAAGAAACTTACTCTATGAAATATGAGTATTTAAATAAAAGGGAGAAACTTGTAGATCTGAGATAATCTTCTCTCTCCAGCAGAGAACCTTGTAAATCCAAGATAATACCTTCTTAGTTCTTACCCTTATACATCTGAGATTGTGAGATATTACTCTCACTCACTCTCGAAATTAGTATCTAAATACTGAGAACCTTGCAGATCAGAGATAAGGCTTTCTAATCCTTCACCCTTGTATATCGAGATAATGCTTTCTCACTCTTGTAGATTTGATAATACTTTCCTTCCCACTCTTGGAACTTTGGAAGTTACTACGGTACTTTTTAAATGTCGAGAGTACTATTTGAGTAAATAAAACACTACAATCGAATGAGGTTGTTCTTCTCTTGTCCCGACTTTGTTTGTTTTGAACCGGGAGGACGGGTTGGAGACAAAAAATACTCTCTCCGTCTAAAAGTTTTGTTTTCATTCTATATTTACACGGTCAAATTTTATTCAATTTATTTGGCCTATTTTTGTTGCCTATTTGATAAAATAATAGTCATATAACCTCAGATTTTGTAAATCTTTTGATGTACTCCCTACGTCCAGAAATGTTCTTCCCACTTTCCTTTTCAGTCCGTCTAAAAATATTCTTCCCATTTCTTTTTTATTCAACTTTGTAAAGTTAAATACTCCCTCCGTCCAACAATAAAGTTCTCACTTTCTTTTTTCGTCCGTCCAAAAATAATGTTCCCATTTCTATTTTTAGAAACTTTTTTATATTAAAAAGTCTAAACTACCCTCACCCACCCACACCATATCTTCTCTTATTTCCTTTTTCTCTTTCTTTCCTGCAGTTCCCAATTCGTTTTCTTTCTTCCTCTTCCCCACCGTTTTCATCTTCTTCTTTTTTCTCTCTCTTCTTCTTCTTTTCTTCTTCTTCTTTTCTTCTTCTCATCCTTTCTTCTTCTTTTCGTCTTCTTCTTCTTCTTCTTCTCTCTTCTCCTTTTCTTCTTCTTAATACTTTTTCATTGCCGATCTGAATTCTTCGATGCAGATCTGATTTTTTTTGTTTTCAATCTAATTTTTTGTTGCGGATCTAATTGTTTCTTGCGATAATGACCCATGCTACTGTAATGGATCGAGTTTTGACAGTGGACAGAGACGATTACCTGCAAACTAATTTAGAAATTAAAGATGATATTCTTTCAAATTTTGATTTTGGTGATTGAATTGGTGTGGTGGTTGAAGTGATGTAGAAACTGCCGTGGGAGGGTTCTGTAGAAGGCATAGATAAATAGATTGTGATAATGAATAAACAAACAATGAATAGAGTATTGAATGTGTAGGGGTAATATGGGAAAGTCAATGCAATTTTCTTCTTGCATAAATTCCCGTGCCAAGTCAAAGCGGGAACTTTAATCTTGGACGGAGGGAGTATCAATAATGCCCTTTCACTTTACCACCCATCTACTTTTTTTTGTTTTTTGAATAAGAAAAGGAGCTCTAAAAGTTTGAAGTAGGGGCATTCAAGCCTTCAAGGAAGTTTGGTGCTTTTAATTTTCATTTAAGGTACTAGACATTGCTTGTTTTGATACTTGACCGGTTAAAATCAAATATGTTTATATTCATAGCATCTATTTCCAAGTAGATGCATATGAGTATCTGAAGGTTTAGGCCTCACAAAAGTTTTAGTAACTTGAAAATTTTGTACAACTTTTTCAATCTCAAAGATAACAATCAGACTCAAATGATATGATTTCTTGTTTTAAAAGGACATATACTATGAAAAATGAAGACAGGTAAAATATTTACTATTTACTCAATTACAGATATTATAAAAAAACTCTCTCCGTCTTTGCTCTAAGGCTGTGTTCTTTTCTGTTGGGATTCCAAAGTTGGATGTTGGGAGAAACTAGGAGTCGGAAAAACTAGGAGAAGCTGGAAAATGTTGGGTAAATAATCACCCAAACAAAATATGTAAGAAACTAATTTTGGATATAAAAAAGAATTCATTTTTGTCTGTGTTTTAGATGTTATGTTATAAATTTAGATACATAATGCTATTGTATAGTCATCATATGTAAATATATTTTTAAGTCGTTGGAAAAAATGAGTTGGGAAAAACTATAAGGAGTTGGAAGCAAATAGAAGGAGTTGGAAGAAAATAGAAGGAGTTGGATAAAGTTAGAAGTTAATTTTCCAACCGAGAAGAACAGAGCCTAAAATGTGAGTATGCTCTCTATTTTTCTTTCTAATTTTTTATTCTTTCCATAGGTATACATTTATCTATTCAATACTAATCACCTATTCTGTCAATGTTCTCTTGCTCAAAAAGTGAACAAGAATATATTTGATTTAGTAAGTATTGGGCTGAGTGTTATGAAGATTAACCCAAGAAGAAAGTGATTAGCTGTTATGGCTGCATGGGCTACAACGTGCTTGTCCATACTATTTGTGGAGAGCTAGAAATGGGAGAGAGCATAATATGATGAATCATGAAGATGAAGTTACTGCAGATATTAAGTTTAATTGTAGAACTTATATATTTCAAGCTTGTTGAGTGAATAGAGTTCTTTCTTCTAGTTTCGGCTAGGCAGATAGGAATTTTGAAGTTGCCAAAGATACAACTTCCTACATTTCTGTTAGCAACTTCAAGTAGTTAATAATAAGATCCCTTCATATCTCTTGCAGATTATATATTTACCAAATTGACAACCCATAGCTAAAATTGACAGCTACATAATGCTACGTAATAATAATATGATTATATGAATATACCTTCATATTAGCTAAATTGAATGTTGATTCCATAAGTAAATTAACTTTAAATTGGAGTGTTCCAATTATTATATTTAGCCCAGCATTTTAAATCCTTGACTAAAATGATTAATTCCTTAATTAAAATCAATCCCAGGTGAAATAAAAAGTATATCTCATAACTGTGTACGATAGCTCTTCTTCCCTTATACTCCTACACTAGATGAAGGTGAAATCTTAACACAGTAAACAAGTGGATTTAAAAAAAAAATATTAGAAAAATCATGAGAAAAAGATAACTCACCTGGTAAATTCCCAAAGGATTTGGGCAAGCGCAGGAGTTGGGCAGTAAATTCCAGAAGAAATTGGCAAAAAATGGGGATATATAACTTAAGAGAAAAGTCTGAACTCTGCGATTTCTGAAAATTAAATCACACAAGGAAACAAAACAAAACAGCCGAATTAACATCAATCAGTTATTCAATAACTTCTCTATTTAAAAAACAGAATTCGAGTTAATTAATCAATGGAAGATACAGACCTGCAACTCCACAACGAAATTCAGAAATTGGAACAAAGAGGCGATGGATGCTCGGCTACTGTTCGTTTAGTTTAGATGGAGCGCAGAGATGATATGGGTTTGGGCCTGGACTGATTTTAGAAACAATACCGTTTCTCATTCATAGCCACCAGCCCACCACAGTAAAAAAAAAAAGTAAGATATTTTTGAAAAATAACACCTTTTTTTTCTTTTTTAAATACTACCTCGTCCCACTTTTTTTGTCCAGTTTTGACTTTTGGAACTGTTCATCTAAGCACTTTGACTCATCAAATTCTCTCAATGTGTAAGTCTAAAAATAGTCATGTGTGATCTTGTTTGATTTGTCTTAACATATAGATTATTAATATATAATTTTTATAATTTTTTAATATACAAATTACAAGATAAAATGAATTAAAGAAGTGCATTGGATGGTGTGCAAAAATAAAAGTGGACAAAAAGAGTGGGACGGAGGGAGTATGCCCCAAAGTCAAAACGGTAATACGGCTGAAGTAGAAGAGGAAAATGGATCGGAGCAGGAGGATGAAGAAGAAGAAGAAGGAAAAAAGGGATCCTGAAGAATTTACCAAAGTTAGTCTATATATAAAAAAGCAAATTTTTAAAACGATCTGTTCTAGTAAAACATTTTCCCAATTCAATCCTCAATAAGTAATTATTACTTATTTTTTTTAAGGCAATTATTACTTATTTGATACTTCATAATTGAGATACTTTCTTTGATAATCGTCAATGAATAATAAATACTTACATGGTACTCCCTCCGTCCCAATTTATAGCGCCTGTTTCGGTTTACGACGTTTGACTGAAATTATTTTCAAATCATTTTATATGACAAATGATATAGAGTTAAAAAGTGAAAATTACATAGTAAAATACTACATCAAAATATCTACAAAACTAGTAGAGACAATAATATTTTATTTTATCAAATTACTAACGAAAATAGAGAAAGAAGGTGAATGAAGTTTAACCCTGTAAATAGTGAACATGCATTATAATTTGGGACGGAGGGAGTACTTAATAATTGAGATCTTTCCCACAATAGTCTTTCGATAATTAGAGTGATAGGATTATAAATATAACAGCAGAGGCATGATTTGGAAGAACATTTAACTAAAAACAACTATTTTGAGAAATTTCTTCTCATAGTTTAAATGATGAAAACACTAAAATACACTACCCTTAATAGTCATTTGATGGACATTAATGGAAGACTATCAGATATAAATCTCAATTGTAAATTACCACGTATGTAATCATTGCTTTTAAAAAAATAATTTAGAAGACTACAATTTCTTAAAGGAAAATTCTATTTATATCTCATTTTGTACCCCAAGTATATGTCCTGACATTAAATGTAAGTGCAAAATTGATATTATGACAATGTTGCACTTACATTTTATGTCAGGATAAACTTTTGAGGAACAAAATAGGAAACAAAGTGGGATGAGAGTAGCACAACCCAATCTTAAAAGAACATTTTGAGAATCCGCACAATATAAAATCTGATCATAAGATTCTACACCCTCTTAAAACCATAGACATGTAAATTCAGGTCTACTCTCAATCAACATGTATGATGTATGCGTATTGGCTGATGGTAAAAGATTTTGGCATTTTGCATATTGTTTTGACAAGTAGATGCACAACTTTAGTCTTTTGTGGGAATTTAAAACAAAAGCAAGTGTGCAAATTCTGATGTGAGAATAAAGAATTGACAGAATCGTCCTTCTCAAAAGTGAAATCATGTGGCATTCGTTCACTCCAATGAAAATGGTAGTGAAGACTCTTGTTCACCTGGTTTTTGTAGGAAACCCGTAAACCGGAGTTGACCCAACGCATCCGGCTCCCCAAGTTTACCGGGTTAATTCAAACCACGGTTTAGCTAATCCAAAACAAAGATTCAATGAAGATGGAACAGGATGACATTGATTAATAATACTCCATAGAAGATGAACTTGGTTAGTTTAACTACAAAAGCAAAACCAAGAAAGATCATACAATTGATTCACTCATCCATAAAGACCACTTATGACACTCATCCACCATTAACAACTCTTTTCAGATCATTGAATGACTCACTTCAATGGTTTTTGGATTCAATATGATCCACTTAGAACTTTCTTGAAACCAAATGATCAACTCCAAGCATCATCCACTCTTTATATACCCGGCATGAGGTTCCATAGCACTACATTAGCAAAAAGGAATTAAAATACGAATAACTACGGTGTGATAAATAAACCTGAAATCTAGCAAATGAAATACCTCATAATCACACAGAACGTCTCGCCATATTTGCTAAGTGTATCTACCACTTCTTCACTGAGGGGTTGCTCTTCGGTATCAAAAAGTTCATGAATGTCGTCACTAACGTGCCACCACCTGTTTTGATACTTCCAAATTTTGTTGTGGCGGAACGGATCAGATGCTACAAACACCAAACCTGACATGATCTCACTTACTGAATGGAAACGAATGGACTCTGATATCATTTGAAACAGTATAATCGAAGCCTTCGCCTTTCGTGCATCAATAATGGCGATTCCGTGTTCATCAACTTGCCATGGAGAAGCAATCACATTGACTGCGGTAATAATTGCTTCCCTACATAAGTGGACATCTTTTAATGTGGGGGCATCACCATATGGATGTTGACGACTTAGCGGTGTAAGCTCCATGTAATTCCCAATGACATTGGTATATGTATATGGGGAAAGTCCTCCTACGGGGGCATCTTTAAACACGTACCAATGTCCCTCAACTTGAAAAGCACAAATTCTCAAGTTGTGGGAATTTATTCCAAGAGCAATGGATGACTTGCTAGTTACAACCCTAACAATCTTAAAAGTAGGAATTTGGTTCTCGGGAATTGGTGGTAAGACCAAAAAGCTTTTAGTCACACCATCTGAGCCTACAAATTTTCTCTGATGAATGGGAGAGTTAAATTGAACTCTAGCCTCATGGATCCAAGTACAATAAACTTGTTTCCACTGATAGGGATCCTTTTCGACGATAGACAAATCAAGCAAGGGAAGATCTTCCATTTTGAAAACCTTAAAAAGAAAAAAAAAGTAATTATAAATATATAACAGCCAAAGATACAACTTCCTACATTTCCATTAGCAACTTCAACTAGTTAATAATAAGAATATCCCTTCAACTACGTAATAATAATACTACGTAATTTGACTCCAAAGTCAAAATTAACTTGAGGGTGTAATTGACTGGGGTGGGGGGTGTTCGGGTCGGGGTGGGTGGGGGTTTATTGGAGGGTTAGAAGGTAGGAACCGTCAATTTTGCAAATGGGACACCGGAGTACCCCTGGGTCATCCCATTACATTGATTCCCAATGTCATGGGAACTAAGGGGTTATATGAATATCCCTTCATATTAGCTAAAATGAATGTTGATTCCATAAGTAAACTAACTTTAGATTGGAGTGTTCCAATTATTATATTTAGCCCATTATTTGAAATCCTTGACTAAAATGATTTATTCCATAACTAAAATCAATCCCAGGGGAAATAAAAGGTATATCTCATAACTGTGTACGATAGCACTTCTTCCCTTATACTCCTACACTAGATGAAGGTGAAATCTTAATACAGTAAACAAGTGAGCTTTAAAAATTATACTACCTCCGTCCTTGAATATTTATCCAGTTTTAACTTTTTTCGGTCAACTATTTTTAACATTTGACCTATAATTAAATAAAATATATATTGTATATTAATTAGATAAAATAATATTTTAAAATATTGTTTATAAAAAAATCTTTTTAAACTATTTTTGCATCAATATCTAATACTCCGTATCATTTTTAATTAATTTGAGTTCAAAGTTTACCAATTTTTACTGAAAAGAGTCAAAAGTGGACAAATTTTCATGGACAGAGGAAATATTAGAAAAATCATGAGAAAAAGAGAACTCAACTGGTAGATTCCCAAAGGTGCTAGAGATGGATACCACTTGGGCAAGCGCAGGAGTTGGACAGTAAATTCCAGAAGAAATTAGGCAAAAAATGGGGATATATAACTATAGAGAAAAGTCTGAACTCTGCAATTTATGAAAATTAAATCACACAAGGAAACAAAACAAAACAGCCGAATTAACATCAATCAGTTATTCAATAATTTCTCTATTTAAAAAAAAACAGAATTCGAGTTAATTAATCAATGGAAGATACAGACCTGCAACTCCAAAACAAAATTCAGAAATTGGAACAAAGAGGCGATGGATGTTCGGCTCCGGTTCGTTTAGATGGAGCGCAGAGATGATATGGGTTTGGGCCTCGACTGATTTTAGATAATACGGAGTACGTAGTAATCAGTACAGTACAGAGTAATGCCCAGTATGCTTCTACGGGATATTGGCTGAGTTTGGTTCAACTTATTTTTTTTGATCTGATTGAATCTGATTTGATCTGATCTGATTGGATCTGATCTGATTAATTATGATTTATTTTAAAATTTCAAATCAATAATTTAATTTGACTTTATAATAACGTTTGAAAATTGTAATTATACTCCATCCGTCCCAGAGTATTTGTCCACTTTCATTTTTACACACCATCCAATACACTTCTTTAATCCATTTTATCTTGTAATTTGTATATTAAAAAATTATAGAAATTATATATTAATAATCTATATGTTAAGACAAATCAAACAAGATCACACATGACTATATTTAGGCCTACACATTGAGAGAATTTGATGAATCAAAGTGCTTAGATGAACAATTCCAAAAGTCAAAAGTGGATGAATATAGCGGGACGGAGGTAGTATTTCATATTATAATATAATCAATATTTTTTATTTAATACTTATTATTTAATAAAATAAAAATAGTTAATTCATATATTAGAATAATCATCCATATTATAATGTAATAATATTTTTATTTTATGATTATTTTTTTGTAAAATTAGAATTATACATTAGAATAAATATTTAATTTAGATATACATTAAAAAGTAATTAAATTTAGATAATCAATATATAGAAGAAATAGTATTTTTATTAAAATATCGCATCCTTATAAAGGATCAAAAGTTTAGAAACTCAAATTACAAGTAGGAATAAAAATATACTTTAAAAGTAGAATTAGATTGACATTGTCAATGTATTTTAAAACTAATTTTTTCAACGTCTAATAGTTAAGGATTACTTTCTCAGTTTTCTATTTAACCTATTTCTAAAGTTTATTCTTTTTCATTTTTCAGAGAATAATAATAATGATGATGATGATGATGATGATGATGATGATGATGATGATGATGATGATGATGATGATGATGATGATGATGATGATGATGATGATGATGATGATGATGATGATGATGATGATAATAATTATTATTATTATTATTATTATTATTATTATTATTATTATTATTATTCTTGATGGGATCTGATTTTAATAAGTCTTGATCTGATCTGATCTGATTTGATCTGATCTGATCTGATCTGATCTAATTGGATCTGATCTGATCTGATTAGATCTGATCTGATCTGATTGGATCTGATTCGATCTGATCTGATCTGGTCTGGTCTGATCTGATCTGATTTTAATAAGAATAAAAAAAATAAGAAAAAATAAGTTGAACGGAACGGAGCCTAATTGAATTAAATGTGACTAAAGCAATTTTTAATACTCCGGGGTACAAATGTACAATTAAATTAAATGAAATAACTATAGTGAAGGGTGAAAATTGGAATTAATAGAAATTATTATGGTATGAACTCTTTTTTAAGAGTACTAGAAGCGACAAGTTTTTTGTGTGCTACGCCCTACCATGTCATACTTTGACTTGCTTGTCGTGAAATGGAAGGAGAATTCCACCCTGATTAGCGTGGCTTGTGCGAGGCATATTTGTTCCTTTTCTTTTTATTTTTTTTGAAGAAAGCGAGTAAGTCGGCTATTGATAAAAGGATATGGAGTATCAAAATGGCAAAAAAAGACTTTCTGTTAAGGGTGGTCGTGATCCGTGATGGTCCGTGATACTACCAGAACTTATCATGGACCGCTATTATTTAAATGGTTCGGTATTAGTACAGGATGAACTCCAATACCATTCGGTAACGTTCCGTTTTGAAACAGAACGGTACAATACCATACCCATGCTCAAACCATGCAAAAAAAATGAACGTATATTACAAATACTCCATAATTATTTGAGGTACGTACTTCGTATATAGCATTAGACGGTTCGGTCCGTGATAATCAGTTTTAATTATTTGTGTCACGGTCATGTCCCATTTAGTATCGGTTCGGTTTCGGTTCGTGATGAAAAAATCAAGCCCGTTTAAAAACACTATAAACGGTTCGGTACTATTACAGTCTGGTATAGGGGTGGGCACGGATCGGGACGGTCCGGTTTTAGGTTGTCTCACGTCTTGTCCCGTTATATATAAACGGTCCGGAACGGTTCAGATTACAACCTTATCCCGGTTTGTCCCATAAAATTCGGGATCGGAATAAAACAGGACAGATTCGGGTTGTCCTATTTTGTCCTAAATCGCAAATATAAGAAGTGAGAGAGAGTGACATTTCATTCAAAAAAAGAAATATGTAGTCATCTAACAAAAAACAATGAGTGGAACGGGTCCAAATAAATTTCAAGCCTATGAAATTAACTTAATTAAATAAATAATTAATTAAAGAATGAGTGTATTTGGATTTTAGATTAGAATTAGTAATATATATTAGTAGAATAGATGAAACAAGACAAACGAGAGGAATCGGTATAAATTTTAGTTGTCCCGCTCATGTTCCATTTGATATTGGGACAGAACGGGTTCGGGATAAAAAAATGTGTCTCAATATATCGGTACAATTACAAAACGGAACCGGGATTTTTCGGAACTGTCCAACGGGAATAGATTTCATGTCCACCCCTAGTCTGATATGGTACCATGCTAGTTCGGTTTTTTTGCCCACCCCTACTTCCTGTCATGCCACTCAAGACTGCACTATTGTTTTAAAAAATAAAATATATTTTTCTAAGATATTTAAATTAATAAAATAGATAACACTTCAAAAAAGTTATGCAGATAACAACGTTTTTAAAATTTTTTTAATAAGGAAAAAGATGATTTTTTAATAAAGAAAAAGAATGCTCTTTTATTGTAAAGGTTATAGAAGTATTTTTATCAAATAAATTTTAATAATTAAAATGACTAAAAATATATAATAAGTAACAAAAAGAATGACTTGCCACTGTAGAAATGGCATTCCAGTCACTTGCCACTCATTGACTGGATTATTTTTCATTGGTTGAAATTTTTCACGTCAATGTGTGGCATTCTAGTTTTGCCTCACCACTGCCCATGCTCTAATACTTTCTCCATCCATAAAAGAATGGAACTGTTACTATTTCGGCTATTCGATAATATTTTTTTGTTTACTCATTTTGGTTGATCATTTGATAAAATAAAATACTATTGTCGTTATTTCTCAGAGTTTGAGGACGGAGAGAGTGAGTCGGATGATGATGGATGTGACTCTGCTTCTCTCCCATACTCGGGCATAATCATCGTTGATAGTAAATATGAAAAAAGCTCAATGGATGACAAGCCCATGCGAGGCTTTGGAAACAAATCGGATGAAGAGCAGGGGACTGAGGAGGGGTAGGGCAGAGACCGGGTTTTCTTTAAATAGCATGTTTTCCATTTTTGTCTATCCCAAAATAAGTTATCTGTTTCTTATAATTAATGATAAACTTTTAAAGGTAAATACCTAAACTACCCTAAAACAAATTATTCCTCTCCACCTTATCTTCTCATTCATCATCACCCCCATAAAAAGTAAGGTATTTTAAAAAATCAACACCATTTTTTCTCTTCTTTAAATATGCCTCAAAGTCAAAAAAGTGATATGGACTGATTTCATTGTCCCACACCGGTTATATGGGGAACTTGGTGATGTGTTTATATAGCCAAGGGTTCTCCCACCTTATCAGCTAGCTTTTAGGGTGTGGCTCTCCCTTGTGCTGTATCAAAAAGCAATATAAAATGGAATGGAGGGAGTAATAAACAAAATAACGATAAAAGGTTCAAAATTAACAACAATTAAAACGTAAAAACAGGATGTAAAATTTAAAAAATGGAAGATGAAGAAGGCGAGTTACGGGTGAGGAAGAAGAAGAATATGGATCGGAGCAGGAGGATGAAGAAGAAGAAGGAAAAAAGGGATCCGGAAGAATTTGCCAAAGAATTTACCAGGTTTTAGTTGGAAAATCGTAAACAATATACTCTCTCTGTTCTAAAAAAATTTACACTTTTAAAAAAAATTGCGTCCCATGATCTCCTATTTATTTCCATTAAAAAATCACTTTTACCGCTTACTTTTTCAAACCCTACCTATCAAATTTTATTTTTGCACATCAAATCGAGATTATTTTTGGAAAATCAACACAAAATTATCCTTCCTTTAATTTCTACTTTACTCAAAATGTGTAAAACTTTGTGGGACGGAGGAAGTATTAGTCTTTTTTTAAGTCAAATGAATAACGTGTGTGTATACATACACACACACACAGATATATATATATATATATATATATATATATATATATATATATATATATATATATATATATATATATATATATATATATATATATATATATATAT